CTAACTTATAAAAATCTAAAAATGTATCTTTACCACTTTTTTATGTCATGTCAAATTTAAAAACAAAATTAGAAACCTAAATTAAACTACTCTAAAGACTAAAGTTCTAAAGTTTTAGTTTCACGCCAGCAGGATACCAGCTATTTCGCCATTTTGTAGGTACCCGTCTACTTTCTGGTCCGCCTTCAATTTAACCAATCAGATTACGATCCAAAAAAACTCGTAACGTTTATATTTTTATATTTTGTACTGTTTTGTTTTCTTTTTTTTGCGACCTTTGAACAACTTAAACAATTACTTTGTTCCGTACCAATACTATGTTACCCAGACTTTGCCCAAGAATTTGTATTGCACGGACGCTTCTGACGTTGGTGTAGGAGCTGTTCTTTCTAGGGGGGGGGGGGTGAATAGGGGTATACAAATCCGCCGATCCGCCCAAATTTGAAGCAAAATCCGCGATCCGAGCCAAAATATTAGATAAATCCGCAATCTGCTGTATTAATAAGATCCGAAATCCGTGTAAAACATTCGCCAGATCCGAAACCCGGACAATTTACGATCCGAAAACCTATTCACCCCCTTTCTACTAAATAGCCGGCAAACAAAAATTTGATTGTGTTCCCAGGAAAGTCTTGGATCACAAAAACAGTATTCTGCAGCCTCTGCAGGTGGTCTACCCAGAGGGTGGGAAAGGGGGGGGGTATGGATCACGTTTCCCAACGGAAAAAAAAGCCGTTTCACGATTCACGTGTCTTAAAAAAGCAATTTCACGGAAAACTAGATTCTCATAAAATAATATAATAGGTTTATTAAGACTATGTTTAATGCATGGTACAGTATCTACGGTTTGAGTTCTCTCATTTCTCTACCTGTCAGTTAAAAACTACATCATAACTTACAAGTTTGAGTGCGTGTCCTCAGCGCCAGGAACCTTGTCCTCACCGCCAGGAACCTTGTCCTCACCGCCAGGAACCTTGTTCTCACCGCCAGGAACCTTGTCCTCAGCGCCAGGAACCTTGTCCTAACCGCCAGGAACCTTGTCCTCACCGCCAGGAACCTTGTCCTCACCGCCAGGAACCTTGTTCTCACCGCCAGGAACCTTGTCCTCAGCGCCAGGAACCTTGTCCTCAGCGCCAGGAACCTTGTCCTCAGCGCCAGGAACCTTGTCCTCAGCGCCAGGAACCTTGTCCTCACCGCCAGGAATCTTGTCCTCAGCGTCAGGAACCTTGTCCTCACTCAGCGTCAGGAACCTTGTCCTCAGCGTCAGGAACCTTGTCGTCAGCGTCAGGAACCTTGTCCTCAGCGGCTCAGCGTCAGGAACCTCGCGAAAGGCCTCCGAAGTTTTTACTCTTGTGCAATCGAGTGAGATCATATAAATTTGATTATCGCGTATCATGTTTATTATAATAATCACTATAATAATCACAGTTCACGAAACAGACATCCTTAATTCTCATTTCACGGAGCATTTTTATCAACAATCACGCCTCACGGCTGTAGAACAAATCACATTTCACGACACTAAAATCAAGCATTTCACATTTCACACGAACAAATATTCACCATTCACGGCTCACGAAAATACCCTTTCCCGCCCTCTACCCAGTATTATGCAATATGATTTATATGTCGAAATAATATACCAAAAAATATAAAAAAAACCGAGAATTTTACTGAAAAAACTTTAAACTGCAAAAATAATAAAATATTTTTGCTAAAAAATCAGGGGGTGGTGAAAATTGTAGCGGGCTCAACATTGAGCCTGGTCAGTGGTAATTTCATGGCGCGAAAATCCGCCATGTTTTTGGCGACACAGTCTTCTTGTTGGATTGAATTAATAGGTTTGTGTGTGGTTTGTGGCAGCACATTTTACTATTTTAGTTTGTAAGTTTGGCAGTATTGGCACTTTGGCAGCCATCATGGTCATGAAGAGAGGACAAAGAGTGGACCGGTTCAAAAGATTCCGGGAGAGAAGAAAAGCGGAGCTGGCGTGTTACCGAGCATTCTATGAATATGCGTTGAAGACACGTCCCGATATTGTCCTTGCCTTTGAAGAGGCATACGGAAAAAACCCCGCAGAGACAGTCTCGGAAGCAGTCGAGATGGAAGAAAAAGGGTTAACCGAGCAGAAGAAAACGGGTTAACTGTGGGGTATGTCTGTTGTATGGGGCGATGAAAAAGAAAAGGCAGAGGACCAAAGAAAAAAATCAGGCTCTTTTAAAGCCAACATATTTACAAAAGTATACATTTATACCAAAAGATAAAAAACGTAGTCTGTTCTTTTAAGAACCGTTATAGTTACTAACAAATAAGAGCTATGCTATTAAATTAAACATATTTCAAAAAGTATTTTTTCCCTTAAAATCTAGGGGATTAATTAGGGGCTGATTACATGGAGAGTTTTCAGCCTCGGCTGAGTTTTATCCCGGGCTGAAATTTCAGCCCGGTCTAAGGATAAAATCCTATTAAAACACAGCAAATGATTACATGACAGAACTTTCAGGCCGGTTGAAGCCACCTGGGCCAAAAATTTCATCCTGGTTGACCAGGCTGAAAATCATGTAATCGATGGGAACTTTCAACCCAGGTTGAAAAACCAGTGTTTTAGTATTTCTGTCTGTTCAGAAGTCAAATAATAGACATGAGCAACATTTTGCATTCTTCATTCGGATGTCGGCGTAAACGGTGTAGGATTTAATTAATTTATTCATTAGAGCTGGTCCATTATCACATGTATATTTGTTCGGCATGACCCCTTACCATCATGTGTGCAACCTTCGCTGTGACCCTGACCGGTAGAGGTGCAGATCGAATCCGATCCAATCCAACTTTTGATAAAGAATTCCGATCCGAAGAATCCTTTAATAAAATAATATCTCATTCAAGTGGAAATATATAAGCAAATAATAATTATTATATATAATTAAAATAATTCATTTTATATCGAAATGCGAAATGAATATTTTTGTTCCGAAATCGGATCAGATTTACACACCTCTACTGACCGGTGACCTCGACTGCAAAAGCACAAAGTACGTAGACCCCCAACACGGACATTGCTTTATAAGTTATTAGCGAATAATAAAGGGTAGTAGGGATGAGCCGATTAATCGGTAAATAATCGGCAAAGCCGATTAATTGGCCGTTTTTTAAATAATCGGTAATCGGCCGATTATTGCCTGATAATCGGCCATAAGACTTTTTCTGCAGCTGCCGAGCACATGCTAGAATACTGAATACAAGCGAATAGATTTTCACATTTGGTTGCAAAACCTGTGTCTTTTGTCTCAAGCGAAGTGAAGCTGGGAACATTTCCACTGAAAAACGCAGCAGACTAGCTCCACATAGCTGAAAATATCCTGTTTTCACACCATAATCTGCCAAAACTAAACTTTGACTATTGACATGCAAGATTGAAGCTGTTTTTAGTTGTACACAGTGTGTACTGTAAACAATAAAACCGCATTTACAACTTCATTGTTGGTAATTTTGTGATTTTTCGCTTGCTTTTTAAAATAATCGGCGGGTACTGATTAATCGGCCGATTAGTTACGATAATCGGCTTATAAATAATCAGCCTCAGTAATCGGCAATTTTCCTTATCGGCTCATCCCTAAAGGGTAGTTTGGTATATCAATTTTTTTTCTGTGTTGATGCAATGTACTAACGTGAATATGATCATATGATGCTTGTAATGTTACTCTGAGTGTATATCCACACCGGGCAAGCTTGAAAAATATGCCTGGCCACAGTGGGAAGGCATATTTTTCAAGCTTCACCGGTGTGGATATACACTCAGAGTAACATCACAAGCATCAGTTTGGTATATCGTTTTACAGTCAGGAATAGATGGATCGGGAAAGGCAGCTTGCTGCGGAGAGGGTCAATTAAAAGACAAAGATAGAAGCAAAAGGGGGAGCACTGATGTTTGTGGCAGAAGATTTGCAAATGGGGGTATAAAAAACATGCGAAACACCATAGAATACATATGGGAGAGAATCCTTATGAATGTAATGTTTGTGAAAGCATCACCTAACAATATGTCGAAGAACATGCACAGGAGAAAAACCTTTACAAATGTGATATCTGTACAGCCCATTTTCGACTAGGCAAATTTGTTCGAAGTGATTGTGATTGGTCAACGAAAAAATTTGCCATGGAAAAGTTGGACCAGTTCCTATTTTTTCACTCCTCTCGCAAACAAATTTGCTTAGTGGAAATTATTAGAAAATGGGCTTAAATTAACAAACAGTTTTCACAAATGGATCACCAACAATACATTTATGAATGTGATGTTTGTAAAAGACAGTATTCACGCAAAGACAGTTTATTCAGTTCCGTCGCTATATGGCAAAATAACAGATTTATTGGCAAATTGTTTTTGTAGTCAGCGAAAATATTTGAGTGGCTCGGAATAAAAAGTACTAGTTAGCAGTTATAACAAAAGTTTAGATAAATTCGAGAGTTAGTGGAAAATGGCATGTCTGGAAAAATTTTTTACCTCCCCTGACAACAATTTTGGGAAAAGAAGTATTTTAAAATTGGCGACTGAAATGTTGTCGGCAAATGTGATACTACACCCCCCTACTTTAGCCTCTTCACTATGGCCCTGAGCTTATTGAAACATAAAAACACACATTGAAGGTGTTGTTATTTTGACTTTTTAAAATTTTTTTGTACTTTATTTTCTAAATGGTTTTGATAACACCACATAAAAAATTACTTGTTTAGCATCCACCCATTTCAATTTTTCCAGGTTGGCAGTTTTTTTAAAAAAATTTGCCTATACAAACTCTACAACAGGGTGTTTCAGAAACACAATCCTGGAAATTCAGCACATCACCATAATCAGAACTAACTTTAATATGAATTACTGCATTTAAAACAGAAAAATTACAACATGGCATCCGAAGGCCTTCATGCCCAACACCTTACCTGCGAACAGGCATACTCTGGAAATGAGATTGAGTTTCATTGAAGGCAATTACAAAGTGTAAAAATCACCATTTTTACAAGTGAAAGGTTTTTAGAGAGTTTTTACACTAAACTTGGAGGGATTTTTAAAAATAAAAAGTATTTGAAGGTCGGGGGCTTTTCTCGGGTCAGGTGAGGAACGTCGAGGATGCTAAACATGATGTAAATTTTTCACCTAAGCTTTTTTATAATCAGTTTTGAGAGATTTTAATTTTCCGTCTGTTCCTTTAACGTTACGTAGTACCTGCATTGAGGCAGAAAACTGAACTGGCACTCTGCGTATGCTTGTAGAGGGCAATTGATAAAACTAGAATAGTGAAGCGAATAGTCGACGAATAGTACGAATAGTCGACGAATAGTGCTGTAGAACTAAATTTACCGAAGCGGGGGGGGGCTCTATTGACAAACATGAAATCGTGAAAACATTTGTTGATGTCAATGACGTCATACGTAATCGGTAAAAATTACGGGACCACTGAGTTTTAACAAATATTTAACAGGAAGTAGAATGACAATCAGTGGCACCGTGGGGCCCATGTTTTTTTTGGGGGGGGGCAAGGGCAGTACTTTTCCGACAAACCGAAAAATTTTTCCGACAAACCAAAAAGTTTTCCGGACG